TGGAATCTGCGATTGGCCGCTTGTAATTCTAAGGCCCGGTCTGAGGTCCGAAGGGTAGGACCAAGAGGACCAACCTAGCGATGGCCTCCACCCTAGTAAGCCTCAACGTATTTCTTTGATTAGTCTTTTTTGATATTTGGAGATCTGAGAGTTTGAGCAACTTCAGTTTTTGACAGTATACGGTGTATAGATTATATATATATAGTGAAAAGCGGGGATGAACGCCACTGTGATGAGCAAGAGAAAGAGTGAGGGTCTTTAATACGTATTGTAGCATGATTGCTCAACGGCTTCGTAGTTATTGTGAGTAAATATAAGATATCAGTTTTCCAAACTTAGCAAATAATTAGAACATATTCGTAAAGATTAGACAGCCTCCAGACTCTTGAACATCAGACTGTCACTCCTCTCGGTCTTTTGCTTTCCCAGGGCTTCTGGAGAGCCTGAACTCCATGCTTCCTGGGAGCCAAATTCGCGCTGGGAGGCAAAGGGAATAGCATGGAATAGCTTCGTTTTCTACTTCTTGGATCAAATTTTTGGTACAATCATGCAATCATTGTACTCTCGAGTTGAGTCATTTTGTGAACAGTTGTTTCAGCTGTCAATGCCTTGAAGGGCACGCGTTTCCGCCAGGAAGTTGGTTGGCCGCACCAATGCTAAGCTATGCGCAAAAGCGCCCTGCTAATGACAAGGAAGAGCCAGGAAAATAGAGCATTGCACCCCAAAGGTACACATTTGGTGATGCATCGACATCTCAATATCATAACAGACTACACTCGATCATGTCATGAGGACTCATGATGACCTGCTGGGGTTCTCTGCCAGGCCTCCCAGCTTCAGCCGACTGCCGCGGCCGCTCCCCAGGTAGCAAAGATTCGACACCTTCAGAAAACAGCATGCTTGGAGATTTGGCTTTTGGAGATTTTCTTGGCAGCTTGTCCAACCAACTTGATTGCCACAGGAAACACAGCCTGGAGACATTGACGAGATCATTTCTGCAGTTGTCAGGGCTGCAGAAGCCCAGCACGTGGAGCGGCCTCAGTACGTCGCCTGTTTGCCCAGGTGTCCCAAACCATCGTGAAAAAGGCGATCATGGGTGCAGCCTGGCTCCTAAAGCAGTTTTGGAAAGATGAGGAAATGGAAAGGACAATTTTTTACATGCTAGGAAGATGGATGGATGAGGATATGGTTGGGATTTTTCTTTGGAGCTTGTGAACTTGTAGGTTCAGTCCTGCAAATTCTGTGTGAGCGTTGCTGATCCACGGGGCCAGCATCTCAGCCACTCATAAATCTGCAATCATATGCCATTGCACGTACCTGATGACTTAGGCATTGATTTCCCTCTCATTGCTGTCTCCGAAGCGTTTGAAACCATGACGGGCTTCAAAAGGCTTGGGCTGCCAAGTTGAAGCTTTGTGTGCACTTGATTTCATGATATGTTTCATGTTGTTAATATTGTTTAAGCAGCTTGTCATTTTATTGCCTGTTGAGTCATGCCGGACCTTCACAGTTCTTCAGTTCTTCACCTGTCAGGAGTGAAATCTTAGGGGCCAATTGTCGCTTCCTGAATCAGGGTTGTGGTCGCCCCAGTTGGACCCAGTCGACACCGACTTCGTCGTCGCGTCGCCCGACGCGAGCACTGCGCGCGAGCAGCGCGCAAGGCTAAGTGCCTTCCGTTTCGCTTGAATGAGCGCCTCGAGGCCCCATCTCCCCGTCGGATCTGGTTGGACTCCGTTTGGCAAGTGAAAGTGGTGGAGCTCTCACGGCCCTTCTTCCAAATCGGAAGAAATCGGGACAAATGTGGAGAGCTCAAGAGACATGATGCAAAGACGTGTCGTTTCCTCTCTGTAAACTGGTCCAGCCCTGGTGTTCCAAGGTTCATAAATCTTCTAGACTTGCGTGGTTTGACCATTGCTGTAGATGTGGAGACTGACGAGGCGGTGGAGTTGTTGTCGTTTTTGAACTTGCGACATTTTGTGACCATAGTTCGCTAGAATTCAGAATACTAGTATGTCGAATGCAGAAGATCTTTTTCAGAACTTGCCATTCTGTGCGGCCAGGAGCTATGGTATCTCATAGGGATCCAAGCTGACATCACAGGGCTGAGCAGACGCAACGTGCCAGAGGAGGGCTCCCTTTGTGCGGTTGACCAAAGCACTGACAAGTGAGAAATGCGCAGTACCAGGACCACATGGCCGAGCTGCAGGAGGCTGAAATGGTTTGTTTGTGCTGGAAAATGTATGAAGATCTACAAAGGCCCATGCAAGCCTCATCATATACACTCATCACCTTTCAATACTGTACAATTACTATATACTATAATTAATATATACTTGTATCATATCTAGTAACACTATCATACAATGTAATATATTATATGTGTGCCCTTGTGCTTTCCCTCCTTTCTGCAATCAGCCCACGGCAGATCGCATCCGAAATCCGAAAGAAGCTTGTCAAGGAGCCCAGCCGAACATTTGTTGTCGCTCAAACGCTTTTGAGGACATGATCTCGACATGACAATGGCCTCATAATGACGTGAATGGATTAAAGCCTTCAACCCTAAAGGGCTCCAACCTAATAGGAATGGCCTCCGACCTACTAGCGAGGGCCTCCAACCTACTAGCGAGGGCCTCCAACTCCCAGATTTGAGATGTGCTTTCTGGCTTGTGAACATTTGTGAACCAGATGCAGTGCTGAAGCACTTTCAACTGGTGGATAAGGCTACCTCAGATGTGACATACAGTGTGCAGCTTGCGTTGCGACCAGGAGATCTCTAGACTAGCTGCAGATGGGATGGAGGAGTGTCAGGCCATTGGGGATACATTGTTTCCTCTCTTGTGTTGGAGCATCGACCTCTCCACCAATCAAGTTCTGTCCGAAGCACAGCTATAGCAGATTGGCATTCACTCAACATATACTCCGTGAATGAGGACCTGTGAATGCATAATATGTTGCTTCAGAGCGAAAAGAGAAGAGTCAAAAGAAACTCGGAACAATGACGTGAGTTGTGTATGGATTTGGAGAATGATCTTCTCATGTTTATGGATTTGGAGAATTCACGTTCGCATTTGGCAGGTCACCGACCCGCAGAAGGCACGGTCTTACAAGCTCCTACAGGAGATTGATCGGTGGCTTCGGTGGGTTTCGGTATGTTTCGGTGAGAACTCTTGGGTCGACACGTCGTGTGAGGAGCCTCTTTGGCGGGAGGGGTGCATGAGCAAGAAGGCCGGAGAATGTCAAATGGAAGGCATAGAAAGGCTATGCCTAGTAAGGCCCAGTAAGGCAGAATGGGTCGAGTGCTGAGTTTTACAGAGGAGTTTTCATAGCCTCTTGCTTTGCAGCATGTGCGGACGTGTCAGGCTGTGATGCAGATGGCTGCAAAGCTAGACAGTCAGGCAGGGAATTGGAAGGTGAAGTTGCTGAACACACGCAGACTATAGCGACCTAGATGAGCCTTGCGTCGTGGGATGTTTTCTAGCCAGAAAGAGACCACACGTAGTGTTGGGGCCAAAGACATTGGTTTACGGTTTACGTTTTTGTTTATTCCCCAGATAGCTGCAGGCTATAGGGGTTTTAACTTCTCAATGGTGTGGCTCTGGATTGGCATTTTGGTTTTGCGGGTCCTGCCGCCGTGCTGATGCTGGTGCAGGTCTGCTGGCTGTAGATCGGCGTTTTGGTTTTGCGGGCGCTGCTGCCGTGCTGGTCCTGGTGCTGGATCGGCGTTTTGTTGTTTGCCCGTGCTGCTGACGCGCTGGTGCTGGTGCAGGTGCTGGCTCGCATTTCGTGCTGGTGCTGGGTCGGCGTTTCCCCAAGCTACAGGAGCTCTTACTTCTCAATGGTCTGGCTCTGGATTGACTTTTCTTTTGCCCGTGCTGGTGCAGGTGCTGGCTCTGGATCGGCGTTTCGTTCATGCGAGGGATGACATCATGTCATGCCAGGGACGACGTCATGTCATGCGAGGAACGACATCATGTCAGCGGTGCCATCATGTCATGCCAGGGATGGCATCATGTCATGCCACGGATGACATCATGTCTTGCGAGGGGCGACGTGATGTCATGCACAGAATGGCATCATGTCATGCCAGCGGTGCCATCATGTCATGCCAGGGATGACATCATGTCATGCCACGGATGACATCATGTCTTGCGAGGGGCGACGTGATGTCATGCCCAGAATGGCATCATGTCATGCCAGGCATTACTGGCTGTCCTATTGTGCATGGCAACGTGTTGCGGAGCAATGCTCATAATGTCGTGCGGGCAGCTTTGGCTGGTCCTTGCCAATCTTATAGGGCAAAGCGGGCGCGGTGGACTGGTCTGATGTTGCGTGCTGCGGTGACAGCCGTCCGTGGCGTGTCCCTTAAACCTATACACTCGCTGTCTGAGGTCTATGCCGGTGTAAATTAACCTTTTTCCCTAGGATCAGAAGACGACCGGCTTGATCCCTCTGAGTCTCTCCTCCCAGTCGCTCCTTCGGGTCCGATCTGTCTCGGATCGTCGAAGAGCGGCGACAAGGCCAAGGTTCCTCGGAAGAAGAACATGGCAGCGCTCCCAGGCACGGAAGCGACTGCGGAGCGGTGGAAGATGGTGAGATGTGGAATGACATGCGATCCAAGCATATCCAAGCAGTTTTCAGGGGGAGGAGCCAACGGGCTTTAAAAAACATACTGTAGTTGCTTGCCACACTTTGTCATGTTTGTTTTTTTGCTTGAAGTTGCACTGATTGGATCAAACATGAAAGAGAATATGCATCCACAAACACAATATTGTGTACATCACCTCAAGATCCAACTTCCAGAGATCCAGAGATAAACCGCCAGAAAAAGCATGAGCAGCACAGTTTCAGACAAATATATACACAAATCACCATTTATAATTGGCGTGTTGCTCCGTTTTTCTTTTTTTGTGCTGCGTCTCACAAAGGGTGACATCGACACGGTGGGTTTGGGGGCGTCTCCTTAAAACAGCCCCCGTCCATTGACATCGATCGAATGGCCCATGCGGAAGTCTGCGCTGGGCATCAGTGCAATCCTGGGAGTGGCCCTGCTGTTCGTGCCTTGGGGAAATGGATACATGGGAGCTGGAAGGCATATTGTGAGAATTTCTTAGATATTGTAAACTCAGCTCTGCTATGCGTTACTGTGCAGTTTGTTAAGTAAGATAGTCTAAGTTTCTCTAAAGATTTTAAGAACAAAATTATTAGTGTGTGAGCTATCTTGCGTCCATACTAGTAGCTTAAGTAGCTAATAGGAGTTTACTCCCTTACTTAATTAAGTGCTGTGGACTGAGCGGAGCAAAAACGAAGGCGTCAGCTTCGGCCTGGTCGTGTTCGAAACCAGGAGCCTTGGTGGCGACGGTGGCGTGCCGAGAGGCGTCTCAAAGAACTCTTAGAGGAGCACGTGGGGGCAGAGGCCGAATGAAGAACTGCAGTAGGGAAGAGGATGAAGAGGCCCCTTTACCTCCAACCTAATAACGATGGCCTCCAACCTACTAGCAAGGGCCTCCAACCTAATAGCGATGGCCTCCAACCTAGGAAAGAGGATGAAGAGGCCGCTTTACTGTAAGGTTCTCCATAATTCTCCACAAACGCCAAAGAAGTTTGCTGATTTAGTCTGACAGCCAGGGGAGAGTCGTGATCACTGGTGCGGACAGGGGCATTGGCAAGGACTTTTGCAGTCGAACGGTTAGGAGTGAATTTTTAAATCAGCAAGCGGAAGACAGTGCTCTTGACATGTATGTATATAAACAAGAACAGGAATGGTTTCGGAGTGCGTGACAGGAACTTGCCCGGCTACTCCGTCACAGCAGGGTTTCACTGCTGCTGGGCTGTCTATCGACCAGTGCTGCAGAAGCTGGGAGCGACGCGAAGACCGCAAGTGCCTTGAATGGATTTGTGCCAGAAGTGAGAGGTGGCTCGCACGAGTTTAAAGCTCATTGGACAGTGGGCAAATTAACGGTATCCAACCCACCGAAGAAGGAAAAGAAGATGTTAGTCCTAAACAGATTCGAGTCTCGCATATTCTTGCATCTCATTGTTCCAATTTCACTCCAGTTTGATCCAAGATGATCCAAGTATGATCAAGCACATCCTCATGTTACCCTTGTATGTATCACTAAATATAATACTAGATATGATAATTATATATGTCACTCATTGTCACTCTATGTCTATATTCTATTGTCCAATCCGACCTTCCGACATTCTCTGACGGGCCAAAAGAAACGTCCGCGGCTTTGCAAGACCGGGCGTCGCCCCGGCCGTCGGCGCAGTTTCCAACTTGGAGCTTTTGGACTTTGACTCCGTGCAGCGCTTCGCTGAGCCTTGGAGAGTCCCACCCGTTCCAGCGGGGCCTCCAAACAGTCTTTTATTTTCCATTGACTGCATGGGCCTGTGTTGAGTTCGATGTGTGAATGTTCCTTGACAAACAGAACAGTTTTGCTGCGAAGCAAAAACAGGTGTGAGCCCTCGTTTTGCACTGGCAACTCAGGAAGAGGCGCATGAATTTCTTAGAGAAGGCAAGCCCGGACTGCGCATGTTGGTCAACAACGCCGGCTACAAGGACCCCTGAATCACGCGATATGCGCCGTGATTTTGCATTTTTTTGGGGGGCAGAAAGATACGGACTGTGGCGTGTTTTGCTGCTCTTGCGTTCAATGGTTTTGAAGACTATTTCAGACAAACCCATCTTGCCAGGAAAGACATGAAGGTGATCGAACAAAGTACGGCCGCTCGAATGGGATAGCTTGAGAACCGCCAAGCGCTCGAGATCATACAGAGTTGTGGGTGCTGGGTGCTACGTCTGCTATGGGGTCTTTTCACATCTCCAGGTTGTCACTCTTGTTACCTTCGAAATTCGCCAAAGGACACAAAAAGGACAAACGCCAAAGCCAAAGCCCTCGCGTAAAGGCGACGATCATTTTTAGACGAGAGGAGCTGGTTCTGTTGGGTCGAGGCACTGGCCGCACCTGGCAGATCAACTTCTTGGGGCCTTTCCTCTTGACGGAGTTCCTGGCCCGACGTCGTGAGCGGGTCCGGCTGCCTGATTCGATGCCCGCGTCCAGCACAAACAGGTCTGACAGACAGGCTCCACCAGGTTCGCTTCATTCCATTTCAAAGTTTCTCTCTATGTAACATTATATATCTCTTTTGAGTTCAACACATATCATACACTCAAAATATCTCAAAATAATACTCACTTTCACTGTACTCATAGTACTCATTGTCATATACACATTTTCTGTCATTCTCTCTGTCTCTCTCTCTCTCTCTCTGCATTTTTGCACATGTCTACCTCATTTGTTGCAAAAGGTGTGGCTGAATGGCCAGGATGAGGTCCAGTACCCTGCCAGCGTCATCAATGTGGCCAGTGGCCATGAGTCGGAGTCGAACCTCAACAAGGTGCTCTTGGATTCCCTCGAAGGCTAGCGCCGCTCAGAACGGGATTTCATCCGAAGCTGGGATCGAAGATGAATAGATTGGCTTAGGCTTAGAATGGCTTAGATGATTGGGAATGAAGAGATAACAGTTGAATTTGAATGACACTTAGTCCAACCATTGCCTTTTTCCATGGACACCCAATCTAATTTTGTTTTTATTTTGAGTGCATGTAGATCGTCTTACGTTCTGAAGCTCGGGCGATCTGCCAGCTGGAGTGGAAGCGACGGGTCATGACTACGCGGACTCTAAGCAACTCGGCACATCGGGCGACTGCCTGGAGAAGAAGTGAAATGCTGGTGGAGTTTTCATGGCCCGGAAAGAGAAGAACAAGTTGTCTTGACATTTGTGTGAAGAGTAGCTGATTTCCTGCACATCCCCTTCCAGATAATTAATACACTGTTATAAACTGTTAAATCTTGCAATATCTGGCGATCGCCCGAGCTCTCCTGAGTTCTGGAGGAGAGCTTTGCTGCTTTGGACATCTGTGCGTTCCCAGAGCCTGGCACTGAAGGGAATCTTGGACCCCAAGACCAGACAGGCTCTGCACTCATTTGATCTACTTAGCCCGTTCTTTATAATTCCTTGAGATTCTTGCTTACTGTATTTATTTGCTATATATGTATATATATATATTTAATCTCACCATGCAAGTGCATGGTCATTCCACAAATCAGTGCGAGCACGATCGGCACCAACTGAGGAGAACTGTACGCCCATGCAGTCTCGCCTGGCAAAGTAGACACTAGGCATTTTGGCCAGCTTGCTTGTGATCATTTTTTCGCAGTCCACATTATATGAACTTCTTCTTTTCGTGGCAGTGCTTCTACCCTCCAACATCTAGCCGCAGAGTCTGGCCGGCCTGTTGCTCTTCGCGTCGCAGGTTTGGTTGCGATGAGGTGCCAGACCTGTCTTTTGGCCTCGCAATTGGGGATTTCCATGCGAAGAAAGCAATTCACGAACCCCGGATTCCTGGTGCCTTTGAGGCTTTGGTTCTTATCAAAGCCCGTGCGCATGTGTCTCTTCCGGACGACGGCAGAGGCAAAGGGAACACTTGTGAGATGCATGCCCAAATCCTGAGCAAAACCTCACACAACAGCATATTACTCACATAATTCCTAAATAACCATGCATCTATTTTGTGCACTTGCAGCTTTTACAGCAATGTGCACTCTGAAACAATCCACCGAGCTTAGCTTGCACAGGGTGCCCTCTCCATCGCTGCTGCTGGTCTTCGTCAACATGCCACCAGCAGCTGGTTTTACTTTAACGTCTGAAATCATTTCAGGTGTCACCGTGTGTCACCTAATTACCTGCATTCATAGGTGTCAACAGGTGACTGTCAACCCCATTGGAGTTCCAAGAAAGGACACTGCCCTCGGTGCTCTGGGTGGTGGAGAAAATTCTGAGAGCACTCGGCCTCGGAACATTTCGCTACGGTCATCTCTGGTTTGTCCAGAGCCTCAAGAGGCAGCGCAGAATCTCATCCTGTCAGCTTGCAACTCCTAGAGTGAGTTCCTTCTTTTTCTGCATCCTACCCTAAGGCAAGTTTGGTCAATACTTTCGCGGAGAAGAGTTGCTTCTTGGACGCAAAAATGAAGACTTCGTGGAACTGGAAGACTCGAAGACCAAAACAACGCTGAGGGTCGAAGATCTTGTTGTGTGGCGAATGCAACCTGTCTGCATTTGGAGCAAGTCTGGGCTGGCCGTCTGGTCGGCGAAGCTGACGTTGCACAAGTTGGACGCGTCGAGCAGACACTTTTCGGACGGGATGATCGAAGGACCGTCTTCTTCCGGTGGTGGAGGCCATCGCTAGTAGCAAGGATGCTACTAGGGCTCCTGGCCTTACTAGGAGCAAGAGGCTACTAGGAACAAAGGGCATCGCTACGAACGGAGCGATCGGACGCTACGAACGGTTGGAGGCCCGAGAAGCGGCTTTCGGTGCAGCTGGTCCGCTGGGCTGCCAGAGCGTCGGCGCTGGAGCCACGGAGCGGTGGGCGACCATTGCCGCACGGTGCACGGAGGGAAGATCGGGCAAAGGACGGCCTCTTTCTTCTGATCTTCCCTTCACCTGCCCTACGATATATAGTTATTCATTTTTTTCTGCATATTCATGGAGCTTATGGATTTGTTCTTTACTGGATACTTGGGTTATTTCGGGGTGTGATGTAGGTGGCTGGGATTCAGGGGCCTCTCTACCCAGCTGCACCACATGGGTTTTATTTGTTGGGATGGTAGACTGGCAGCCTTAGGATTGCCTTGCAAACGATGTTCAGCCCAACCCCGCAGCATCCTGCAGCCTTCAAAGCACTTCTACGGTAGATGTGGTTGGGTCGAAATCATGAAGAGAAAACAACCTGTCCGCGGACTTGTGCCAAGACCCAAGCGAAACAACCCTGCAAGTAACGATCCCATGCGAAACAGTGAGAATTTGCATCAGCGATGCACTTTGCTCTTTGCCAAGGGATATTGGCGGAAGGTCCCTCAGCGTGAGTGACCTGCTGGTGGAGCAGGGGGAGGAGAGCTGACACGCTGACATGTGGCTTTGACCTGTTTCGGTTTAACCCGACGACCTGTCAAAAAAGTGGTGACATGGTTGATGATTGACGGTGGACGAACGAGAGCTTCTGTAGTAACTTGTCAGTAACTCGACAGACTTGGGACTGAAGATACCCTCTGGCTCCGATCCCGCCAAACTCCTTTCCCCGCGAAACCGCCGCCCGCAGGAGGACCGCTGGTCGTCCGCCGAGCGCCGCTGGAGCTCCGTCTCCAACTTGTCCCGCCAGGTGAGCGAAGAGATCCTGATTCTGCCAGGCCAAACCGGGGCGGGTATGCTCTATACGGCTGAAGAGCTTGGTTTGCTGTTTCATGGCGCTCAGGGGTTTTGGAGTTGGTTCGAGGTGCCGTTGCATGGCTGGGTGTGTATATTTATTTGTGTCGGATGGCAGGGGAGACTTCACCAAGCGGAATAGATGTGAAGACACCAAAACTTTAGTTTGATTCCATTTCACTCATCTCTCTGGGCAGAAAGTGGCCTAATCAAACAAATGCAAAAGAGGTGTTGCAAGCCACTTCCCTTCTTTTGCTGTCTGCGATTTTTGTCATCCTACACCTCAACGTTGGCAGCTCGCATCTCTGGGATCCGGTGGCTGGCGATTCGCTTGCGGGAGCGCCTCCTGCGGTGGCTGCCCTTCTGACGGAACGACGGAACGTGCGCCGTGTCACCAAGTGCAACAATTGTGCAATCACCAAGTGCCATCTCCTTTGTAAGGATTTGGTCACTTGTGCCATCTCCGAGATCGTGCGAGTGAAGACTTCGAAAGAAAAGCTCGACAAGAGAGTTCGGGGATGACATGACCCACAGCAGATTGGGTTTGCCGTGTCCCAGTTGGACCTTTTGCCTCAGGACGGTTTCCGATGTCTGTCTTGCTCATTAGTGTGGTGTCCTTCCTCACCGGTCTTCTGTCACAGCCTCAGAAATCAAGATGGCTTAATGCTGCTGGTTAGGCTTTGATGAATTCAGGCGGATACAGTGCGATGCATTCTGAAACTCTGCAAAAAGTCTGCAAATGACATGGTGTTGACACAGGTTAGACATGTGTCCGTGTCAGCATGACTTGGGTGTTGCTGTTCGCGCTGACAGGTTGGGTCGGGGCTCCAGACGTCACTGAAGCGCCCAGAATGGGGTTGCACGATTTTCGGCGGCGGTCAAGCCAGTCCAGCTGAGAAAACACCCACACATATCCATGCCAAATGTAAGCGACCAACAAGATCATCAAAAGTATACAGATGAACATTCCTATTATTTTGTTTTTCCCACTTTGACTTGCTATCTATAGACAGTAAGTAGCTAGTCGAACGCCCAATTTGGGCTACATCTTTGAACTTGCCAAACTTCAATCATCGAGATTAAGGCTGAACTGATATGAACTGATATCAATATCAATATATTCATTCAACCAAGCACTGAGGAACTGTCACATGGACATGAGTCGGCAGCAATGGCGGGGATATGAACATGATGTTAAAGTGCTCTCAGACTCTCTCACATGCGAAAACAACTTTGAGAATAAGCAGTGAGTGTTGTCAACCATGATGCTGATGGTCCTTAATTTGATGTCTTTCTGGTCTTCTGTTCTCAGTCGAAAGGGCACCAGCCAGCCAGGGTCTTGTGAACCAGCTGCATGGCTCAATTCGATAGGGCATTCATTGATTTCAGCTGGACTTTGTGGCAGCCAATGCGCTTTTCGCATGTCAGTCGCATACCACTTGGTACTGGAAGAAGGCGAACATCTTCCAGGACAAGATCAGCAACTTGCGCCGAATGTATCGATTAGTTTCAGAAGGATTGAACATTTGCTCCAGAAAAAAGGACTGCAAGAACGACCTGATCTCAGAACGTCGTTTCGAGGGCTTTCCCACCCTTTTTGCAAGTTGTTCTGCGGAGGAATTCGCCCCAGGCGGCCGACATGAGTGCAACGCCCCGAGCTTTCCAAGGACCTTTTTCCGTGGGGGACGAGCCAAGCGAGGCCTGCGAGCCAAGCTGGGGCTCCTTCCATGCCAAGCTCGGCGAGATACCTCTGCCAACCCACTGTACCAATTGTCGACATTTGTTTTGAATTCGTAGAGTTTTGGGAATATGACTATGACTAGTAGTCTAGCCGTCAGCCAACCTCTTGAATTTGCGGCCTTTCCACACCAGAGGTATATCTCATTTTTGCAAAGTTGCTCCATTTGGGTCCAAGCAGAGCGGCATTTCGAAGGCTTGCCCGTCCTACCCTGTGTGCATTGCACGGAGATTTTCGGGCCAGGACAGGTTGTGAGCGGCTGACGCCAAAATATCGGAAGACGTTCGGAGGGTCGAAGTGATGTATTGACTGCCTGACTGACTGCCTGACTGACCATATAGGTGTTTTGGAAGATGTGTTTTGATGCGGAAATTATGTCTCACAGGTTCATTTGTCCAAAGTCCCTTGTGGCTTTCAGCAGAAATTGCAAATAATGCGAAGCAGTCAAATGATTTTAATGTCTTAAGAAGTTTGCAACCTGGTGCACTTTTCAGTAGTCAGTAGTCAGCGTCGCCGCTTGCGCAGTGAACGATTCAGATTAGATCGTAGGATTCAACATGTTTCGTCGCGAAAACAACACGCCGTTGTTCCACGTTGCCATAACAGCCTCATCTTGCCATGGTGCTTCATGACTTTCGGCGTGGAGGACCGCCTATCTCAGATCTTCCTTATTGCCACTCACCCAATATTGGATTTGTATCAAACTCGATCTGTTTGGATCCCATCTTAGCGTCCTTTGCTCCGTTCGTAGCGACGCCCTTTGCTCCTAATAGCTCCTTGTTCCTAGTGAGGCCAGGAGCCCCGAACGTAGCGTCCTTGCTCCTATCCTCCGTGTATTTGAATCTGTTGGGATCGGTCTTCTTCTTTGACTCGAGCCGTGACTTCGCCAGGGCTGGCGAGCATGGACCATCCCTGAACTATCTTGCAGCGAAGTCAAGGCCGGTTTGGATCAGCCACAGCAGCCTCTCCCTTTTAGGCTTCGATTTGGGAAATAGCATCTTGGGGCAAGGACGCTACTAGGGGCTCCTGGCTTTACTACTAGGAGCAAGGAGCAAGGACGCTACTAGGGCTCCTGGCCGTACTACTAGGAGCAAGGACGAAGCGCGGGAAGTGGACTGGTGGCGAAGGCTCCATCCACCCAAATACTGATTGGGATTGGGTTTTGAAATTGAGGACACTTGAGGAAGATGGAAAGCAACATGGTAGGAGAAGTAGGAGAGATATGGAGATATGCACCTCACCTCTCATTCCGTCACGCTTTTCCATCATTTCAACGTCTTTTGCAACTGAGACTGTCACTGAAGAGGCGACGTTGAAGGTCAGCTTTGAGGATGCTCTGCAGCAAGTCGAGGAACTCGTCCAAAGACCAGTCAAAGTGCATCACAACGGGACTGATTTCAAGATTATGCAAAACTCTTCACGTGTCTTCACACGAGAGCTGGAATTCAAACAGTCACCTTTACCTTTAAACTGAAAGGCTGTGAAGATGGAGGGGTCAATCTGTAGACTGTAGATCGTATGACCGAATATCAAAGCAGACATCTCACATCACATCTGCTTCGTTCCAGGAGTTGCACAATGATCTCAGGAGGGATCTCATGGAGAGTTGGGTCAAAGCCCGGGACTCAGGTTGACAGTGCTCAGTCTCAAAAAGAACTGTCACCATGAGCGACGTCTCGCAAGAACTGCATCGTCTCAAGGGTCGAGATCAAGACACAGAGCTCCAACCGTGGACAGTAGACAGTAGGGGATTCAAGCATGCCAGCTGCCCAGGCAACTGAGACACAGGCAGGTGGTGTGACGTGTAGACAGTGTAGACAGCGTAGACAGTGTAGACTATGGACCTCCTACCCTAAGCATCTGCAGCACCACTCGGATCGCTTAAATTACTGGTTATATAAAATATCGATCTGGTCAGTTCAATGGATATCACAGGATCTGACTCGTCGACCATGACCACAGCAAGACAAACGGAGAAGATATGTGGGGAGCGCCCCTACTACAGTAGCGTCCTTGCTCCTGTAGCGATGCCCTTTGCTCCTAGTAGTGTCCTTGCTCCTAGTAGTACGGCCAGGAGCCCCTAGTAGCATTCTAGTGGCCAAAGAGATATGAAGTTGATAAAACAAGGGATGAGGGCGTTCCGAGTGGAGACGTGTCGAGACGTGGGCGTTCCGAGTGGAGGTGCTTTTCCGAACCTGGCCCTGGTGGAGCTTTCTGGGACCATTGCTTCCACAGATATCCACTGCCTTCAATGTCCAGGCTGGTCGTCTGAGGTCAAACAGAAATTTTGGTAAAGCACATTCATGAAATATGGATTTATAGATTTAAACATGATTTGAAAGATCAACTGATTTATCAAATCAAAGTTTAGAAAGTTTGGTTTGTTTCTATTGATTTCAGAAGGTCCCGTTTGACTGGAGGTCATTTGGATTCATTTGGATTCCCAATTCGAACGAGTTCGACCATTTAAGACCTCCGGTTCGACCACTTTCTCAGGCAGCGCTTTGCGCACGGAGTGGATGCTGCCAAGACTGGGCCCTTGGTGAGGCAAAGCTGAGTCATGACGTGGACATGATTTGATGTACACAGTCTTTCTTTTTAAAGTTTTGTTTTCTCGACGAACAGCATAAACTTTGGAGAATCCCAATTCAACCTGGAATCCAACAACTCGCTCTGTTTCGCCATGCTCCACTGGCATGGGTCATGATAGTTGTTTGTGAGAAAGTGACTTGTCGAATGTTTGCACTTGCAATCCCAACTTGACCGGAAAGGCTGCAAGAAACTGTACAAACTTCACACACACACAGAGACTAGGAAGATATAGCATATATGCACATAATATCATGTGTAAATATGTGTTATTATATTGTATGAAGAGGTATAGGTAAGGTAGTATAGGTATTCTGCAATGCTGCACTTGCTTTGCCCTTGTCACATGTTTTTTCCGGTTCTGAGAAAGATTTGAGGAGACTGTAGGGATTTGTGTTGAAGGGTGCCGCTGTGATCTGCAAGCTCTATCTATGCAGCTACCGCAGCGATTCGCTGAGTCTTATCTGACTTGTCCTCCTCATGTTCTCCAAGCAATCTGATCGTAGTCTTGTCTCTTGTTCGAGACGATTAAGTCAGGGCATAGGATGTGAGTCAGAGTGTTGCTTCATGTTTCTTCCAACGGATGCTAGCTGTTTTCTCAACAGTGTTCCTCTTTTTTTTCATTCAAGTCCTTACTTTGGGGTGTCCAAAGAATGTTGGAATCAGTGGACCTTTGGACTTTTGAGGCAATGCTGTCCTGGAGAAGGGTGCAGGACAATGACACCGGTCGTGTTTTGCACTGAGTGCCTCTCAGTAGACATGTCCTTTTGCATTTACTAGCGTGGCACTTGTTTCTACTAGCTTCTTGTTACTACTAGTAAGGCACCTGTTACTACTAGCGTGGCACTTGTTTCTAATGTGGCCAGTAGGGGTGTCTGGGAGGAGCGCATGAATTTGCTGCTTTGGCTTGGAACCTTTCAAGGCCCATCTCTGAGCTTGGAAGAAACAAGTAAGGCTAGGCCCATAACCACAATGTCAGGGTAGGAACATGTAAAGTCGACCTATTAGTTTGCCCCGACAAGACTGCTGGGCAATTTTCCAGATTTTCTCGAGGATGTGCAATCCGGGGTCATTCTGAGAGGGACTAAGAACACTCAAAGCTGGACAAGAACCAGCCATTCAAGGATACTCAAGGATGCCAGCCACTCAAGAAATCTAGGGACCAAATGAGTCGTGCGAGCTATCCTGCGTCCAGTAGCTAGGAGCAGCTAGTTGGCCCTTACTTAATCAAGTAGTAGGGGGGCAGAGTGGGCTAAGAAAGAAAGTATGCGGGTCCTTGAGTGGCTGGCCTATGTGTCACACCCAGTGTCCTGAGTGGCTTTGAGTGTCTTTCAGTGTCCGGATTGCACGCCCTCAGGTCTAATAGAACCTACTAGCAATGGCCTCAAACCTAATAGCCATGGCCTCCACATTTATGTTTGGAGTTGATTTAAGTTTTCAATCATCTTCTTTGCCTGAGCCGATGGATCGCCAGGCAATGTTGGTGATGTTCGCTTGTGGGGTGTTATGACTTGCATCACCCTTTTTCTTCCTGCCAAAAGGCAACCTTTATCCCGAAAGTTTTCCAAGGCAACTAAAAGGTAGAATTTTGATCCTGCTTATTCAGTCCCTAACATTGTAGAACTTTGGAGGGGCGATATTGTGCAACAAACCAACACCTCCAGGATCGTCTAGCTTTGAATGGATTTTACATGCAACTCCCGGATAGGCAACTCTGCTGAGTATTCCTTTGCCTTCGCCAACTCTTCGAGGTAGCTTGGCATTGGCGCCGGATACTGTAGAAGGCCGCTACTTGGAAGGCACGGTCGACTCTTTAGCATCTGAAAGAGGCGTGGATGGGGATGAACACCTGTGACATCACCAAAGCAGGGCGGAACAGGAAGATGACCTTCTGCCTTCCAAATTCCACTGATGGAGCACCTTGCGCCAGTTCTCTTCTTCATCACCACCCCACCATCATCATCTACTTCACCATTTTCCATGTTTTTTCTCCCACAGTGACTCTTGACTTGGCTTGTCAGGTGAGGGTATTGGATGGAATGAAGAGTTGAACTTCGAGGCAATGGACGTGATGAGTTTGGAGACATGATAGCAGCAATTCAGTTGTTTGTCCTCCCCATTCGAGGCACTGGAGTCAAATCTCTTGGATCACTCACAGCTAGGATATTTTGGAAGGCAATGCGGCAACACCTATGCACATTATATTTGTATACAATATGGCTGCCTCTTGATAGTCCGTCGGCATAAATTTGTGGTCTTGTTTGTTGCCGCAGATGTCCACTAGCGAAAGGGTGGTTCATCAGAACTGGCTGGAGCCTGGACCTGAGTCTTTGCTCTTCATTGGAGTGCAAGGGTCCCAGACACCGGGAACTCCACTCTCTCACCATGCAGACACATTCCAAGGACACGAACTATGGACCTTTGGTCTTTGGTTTTGACATTCTACTCTGAGCTGGGACATATTTTGGAAGGGAAATAAAGGAAAGTGAAAAGGTAAGGAAAGCCTGGGCCCCTTTAAGTTACTTCTAGTAAGGCCCTTGTTACTGGAATGTTCATGACATGCTTCGTTGGGCTCCAAGGTTCCGCTCGGCTGAGCGTCTCTTTGAGCTCTGTCATGAGACGCTCCGGAAGGCTCCACGAACGCTTGGGGAACGAACAAACACGTGTTGAGCTTCTGGTGTTCGGACTTCTTCGACTTCTCCGACATACTTGCACCTGGAGAGTGTCTCTTGGGAAGAAAGAGGCAGAGTGAGCAATTCGAAAGAGGACATCCTGTAAGATGCTGCTGTTGGATGAAGGTACTGACTGGTAGATCGAGAGAGCTGGTTGAGCAATTTATGGACCGTGCCATTTCCATTGGCTTTCAAAAGTGAGGCGCTGAGTGGTCTGGGACAAAGAATGAAGGGGGGCACTGCATATGCATCGTCCGTGCCTCGGTGCTATTTTGCGTGAGGTTTTGGTATCATTCATTTGCCACCGAGTTCTTGTCAATGTGTTTCTTTCTGCTTGTTTCCTTGTTGTGTGCCTACATCATGGTTTTCTCTCAGCTGTTGTGGACAGAACCTCTATATAAATACTCTCTGTTTCTTTCTTAAGATTTCTTGCTCATCAAAACCCTTTGAGGTAGTTGCTCTTCGGCTGGCTGAGGTCGGTAGTTGCTCTTTACGAATTGATGGACATCCGCACAATAGATGAAGGTTTGCTGAGGCTGGGTGTGGCGGTGGACATAGTGCTTTTCAGAAGATGCTCAGTTCTGAGCACAAACGTTATTTTGCCCTCACAGGCATAGATGATGTGCATTCTTCAGAAACAAAAAAGTAATGGTCTGACAACCCCAATAGCAAAGCAGCCACCAGATCCATTTTTTCTGCATTGTTCGTTGCGTCGCTCTTTCACAAATCGATCGTCGTGGATAATTCATATTAAAAAGACGCCAAGAAGCTGAGTAAAATACACTCCAATAGTTTATACATGTTTATACCACTTAACGAATGTTTGCCGATGGCCGAATTGTATATTCAAGTGCTCAAGTGTTTGCACATTGTGCATACGCCTGAAGAACCAACTTTATACAACGCTGCAAAAGATTCGCACCAAAGAGAGGTGTGCGCATATTTTTTTCGCATATGCGTGCAGGTTCAATTCTGACAAAGAATGAAAGGAATAAACATTATACAGATGATAAGAATATATTATCACCAGACCAGACAGAAAGTGCAGTTAAATACGAAAGCATAATTACTTCATACACGAAAGGTACAGTGAATGCAGTTGTCAGAGACCATACTTTAAGTTCTGGCACCAGGGAAGATACACTTTTGGACACGCACATGCATCGTTTTTACAAAGTATTGACAAGCAAAGATGACGCTCATCGAAAGTAAACAGAAAAACTACATCTAAGCAGTGGGTGTACACGAACGATGCAAGAATCGCAGTGTTGAGCAATCAGATTTGCACACCTCGAAAATAACTTTCTACCAACACCAAAACCTTTTGAAATGCAGTCGCAACATTTTGGCACACATTTACAAACAAGTCCAACCCCCAAACCAAACGCATGTTCTGTTGACCACGAAGCACTTAACAATTTTTTTGCCGTTGGTCGAATTGTTTGTGTGAGAGCCTGCGCAAAGTCCATACATCTGAAGAACCTCTTCAATACAAGGCAACAACATAAGATTCGCACAGAGGAAGAAAGGCGTTTCAATATCTAGGCGCACAATCCCTACTCGAACAGAGAAAAACAAACATAAAAATTCATACAGACGACAGGAACCTATGATTATCCCCAAAGGAAGAGGAAAATGTATTGAAGGACAAACGCATAATTTCTTTCTACGCCAAAGGTGCACTGAATGCAGCACGCAGTTGCTAGCCAGCTAAGGATGCTCCTCTCAAGCGAACATTTTTTTTACATGTCGACGCATAATCTATACATTAGGCGCGACATGATGCTCAAGCGCCAGCGCGCAACGTGCACCGGGTGCAAGTACACGCAAGCGCACAGTTCATACGCGCAGCAAGATTGAGACCGAGATACAACCACAGCATAAGCGAGACACAACCAAAAATATTTGCGAACAACCGCCACAGAACCGATACACCACCAAAACAGCAAAACAACAAGAACAGCACGAAAACACAACCGGCACATCACCCAAACATGAGCGAGACACCGAAACTTAACCGACTCACCAAACATGACCGAGACACGGCATTACTAAAACATCACCGAGACACCACCTGACTGCCTAAACATGACCAAGACACCACAGAAGCATCACCGAGACTCCACCGTTTCAGGGCATCTCTTGAGATTGCAGCCAGGTGGCTTTCACAAGGGATTTTCCGTGGGAAATCCGTCGGGGAGTCAAGACCTGAGAGCAGTGAAGGCTGCCGTTTCAAACATTTGCACTGTTTGAACGTTTTGATATACATAACGTAGTAGGTTGGAGGCCATCGCTATTAGGTTGAAGGCCATCGCTAGTAGGTTGGAGGCATCGCCATTAGGTTGGTCGCTAGTAGGTTAGTTCATCCATTTCATGAAATCAAGGCAGTGCCGTCGCAGTGCCTTCAGATCTTTACATGGAAACCATAGGTAGATGGTGTAGGCGAAGGGCCGTGCCGCTCCAACGGTATGTCGCCATGTTCCAGGTTTGGTGCACTAAATGGTGCCTCCTCACGATGGCTGAATGAGAGCAAACTACTAACCTCGCGGGCTTTCGATGGAGCTGCTTGGACAACTCTTGGACTCAGGCTGAGCAGTTTACCTATAGTATATACTCACTTGTATGCCATGCTTCAAGGCAGCCAGACTACCACGTTCATCGCATGCCACGTTCGGCCCGTTCCGCTTTTTGCCCCGACGACCTGAGGCCCGTGGGGTGACCAACTTGACGCGAGGTCGAGTCACTGAGCAGGAGCCCTTCCCGCGGTGGTGAATCCAAGATGAGTGGGACATGGATCCATGTCGTGCCCTTTCGCACGAGTTCCCGCGCCGTGAGCGCGCCGCTCTGCGTGAGGATTTGTCTGTGCCGCTGCTTGCCGAGAGCTATGACTGGATCCTGTGCCTGGAGGTGGCTGAGCACATCCCCCAGGCGGGACACGGCTGTGCTTCTTCCTGGAAAGATGTCGTCGTAGAAAAAGAGAAGGCTTCTGGTGATCCTTCAGAATCTCTGATTTGAAGGAACAAGGGATAGAAAGTGGGATAGAAGGGCAGCAAAGCAGGTGAAGTCGTTTAGCCCTCGGTGACTTGGAAGTACCAATATGGAAGTTTGATTTTGGGCGGACTGATCTTTTGGGATGGATGTAGTTTGGGAAGCTGCTTTTGGGGGTGACCCAGGGCGACGAACTTGGCAGGCCAGGCTTGGGACGTTCTTGGAGAACCTGCGGCGTCATGCAAAGGAGGCCCAAGACTAGAAGACGTGCGGATTTTGATCGTGTGAGTGGACAAGAACCACATGCGATCATTTTTTTTTGGACGGAATGGTGAGCATTCACATTCTCCAAACATTGACTTGGATGTTAGCAGATGACACTAGGAGCAAAGGACGCTACTAGAAACACTATGTTGCAGGGCGCTGTGGTGTCCTGGTCCTGGTGTGGAGCCGGTGGTGAACACCACATCAGCTGCCGCAGTCCTGAGGAGCTACTATAACCGTGAGAGCTAGATGGACCTTGGATGTCATTGGATGTCATTGGTACCTCTTTGTTAAGCAAAGAAGAAGCGATTGACACGATGGGACCCCCCCAAAGAGGCCCCACTGGGTCGTTGAAGTGATGATGTGAAGAGGTTTGGCTTTATATAGGGATCATGTGGTGCTGGTGTGAAAAGCTACATACACTGAGGCTTCATTTCAAGATGCAGAAGGTGTAGATTCGTTGGTCCGACTGTGTTGGCTTTTCATCGAACCACCATATTGTGTGGCTCTACAACCCTTAGCCGCTTGGTTTCAAGGGGTTCCCTCGCAAGCCCAATCTTGACAGGAAGCACGGGCTCTTTTTGCCAAGGTCGGTGTGGCTCTGAGTCGCTTTTGCTAATGCTTTGTGGTTCTTTGAGTATTCTTGGGTTGGAGGCCATCGCTAAGTAGGTTGGAGGCCATTCCTATTAGACTGCAGGCCAGGTCGTACGCGGTCTCCTAGGACTGATTGCGGATCTGGAGGCCTCAGCAGCTGCACAGGCAATCCCTTCATGGTTTCACAAGCTGAAATTAGTTGCTGAACTTCCACACAGTCGCGGCACCAACAGTTGAGTGACATTCTCAGGTTTTCCAGATATACAGTTTGTAGACAGGCGACTTTCATCGTTGCTTAGATGAGACTTTCAAGCAGTAGCCTGAGTAAGCCTCCGGCACCCCTTCGCTGCAGGCTGCATCAAGCGTTTGGTGGATCTCGCGAACAGTTCAAGCTAGGCACTCAGTCGACTAAAAACAGCTCAGTCACCTAATAGCGATGGCCTCCAACATCTTCGTTCAGTGCGCACTTCGATGCACTTAGTCCGCCTTTCGCTGAAGTTCTTCGATGCACTGAGGTCTATCGGGCGACCCGACGCGATGCAGATACGCGGTGACAAAGATTCGCCGTGGTCAAAAGAAGTGAGAAGTGCCCGACCCATTCAGCAGCTGTCAGTTGATTTGACTTGGATTTCTGGCTTTCAGCTGCACATGTTTGCTTGATGCCAGCCGTAGATTTTTCCAAGCAGTGGAGCTGCGCAGAAGGAGAGTGCCTTTGCACGACCATGGCGATCAGTTGCATCCCCTTCGGGGCTGGGGAAATCAATTGTGCTCTGACGCTGTTATGCCAAATGATCGGGAATCTTGTGGCGATGATAGCAGCTCTTCAAATGGTCATGACCTCACCCTACGAGAATGTGGCTGGAGTGGATAAGAATGCAATGATGAGCTTTGCAACGAATGTGATCTACTCCAGGATCGTTGCAGGCATGTGTGTGACCATGATTTTCGGCAACTGCTACTATGCATGGATGGCTTGGCGAATGATGAGACGAGAGAAGACCACCAATGTTTGCTGTTTGCCCTATGGGATCAACACGCCTGCGGCCTTTGCATTTATCTTCAGTGTGGTCGCCAAGGCAGCAAAGGAAGCGGCTGCCACCGGCATGAGCTGGGAGGAGGGTGTGCTCTATGCTTGGCGTGTGGGATGTGTAGCGAACCTTGTGAGTGGCATCATCGCCACGTTGCGCCTTGGCAACGGAGAACGGAGAATTGGTTTGGAAGCCGAGGACTCCTTCACGGATGATACCCTCTGAAGTGTTCAAGACGAACCACCGAGGATCTACGTAGCAACAAGAATTCCGATATACACATTGAAGCTATCACCACTAACTAGGTTTTTTCCGACATGATGTGTTGTGTTTGGTGACCAAATTTGGTCACTGTGTTTGGACTTGTTTGTTGTCGTCTTTGTCGTCGGGTGTGGTGGGATCCTAGGATCAGGCAACTGGCGGGATGCGGTGTGGCTATGTTTGCTACTGGAATCACAATTCCTGCTTGCCCACAGCGTTTATGCCCTGCACGATGTCAAAAACAGTGAAACGATGTGAAACGACCAGACCCAAACACATCGTTTACATCAGTGGGTCGTCTTGTGCGTCCAAGGTGTGGCTTTGCCGGACCCTTGATCGTGAAGGTGGCTCCGCCCGGTTCCTTGATGGTCGCGCTGGCGGGGCTGGGGTTCACTTACCTGGGCATCGGGCAGATCATCTCCTGCTTCGATGTGGGTCACCTGGGCTTATTGCCCTTGGGCGTGGCCCTGGTGGGTTTCTTTGGGGAGGTGAAGACATCGCCATTTCCTGCAGCTGGGAGCTTTCAGAATTTGTTCACATTTGACCAGGTTTCTTGTTTTTTCTTCAAAGGTTCAGTTGGGAGAAGGCCAGAGGGCATGCGACTTGTGGATCGAGCTCGTGGCTCTTGATTGCTTGAATTCAGGCAGCGGTGGCGGTGATGCTTGTGGGCAGTTTGACCGGGTGGCTCTCCTTCGAAGGTTGGCCTGAAGGTGGGATCCCCACAGGTGGCACAGCAAAGGCCGTGGAGGACTGGAGACTGCAGACATTGAGGTCTACAGACTCTCAAGACAGCACAAACAAAATACACGGCTGGCTGAAACCGACTTGATATTTTTTGAATATTCTGTAGCTGTGTCAATCTGTGTGGCTCGCCTGGCCGGAAGGACTCCTTGAACCACTTCAGTTTCTACATGCCGAAAATGCTAGGGCCAAGCGACTATGCTGGAATTGGTTCGGTCATTGCCAACAACCTCTCTGTGATTTTGCCTGTCGCCTTTGTTGGTGCAGTGAACACCTTAGTGTCGACCTACGCTGCACACTCCGTGGGGGACATGTACCCCATCCGCGAATGCCTCATCGTCGATGGCCTGACCACGGTCGTCTCGGCACTCTTTGGATCACCTTTTGGGACCTGCGTCTACTGTGGACATCCTCAGTTCAAAAACCAAGGTGGCAAGATCTATTACTCCTTTCTGAACTGCATCCTCTTTTGCTTCCTCGCCAGCACGGGCATGTTTGCTGCCGCGAATGCCATCCTTCCGCCTTGGGGCACGGCACCGATCATTCTCTTCGTGGGTCTAGCGATCAATCAGGATGCCTTCAACATCATCGAAAGTCGACACATCCCGGCAGCCATCATTGGACTTTTCCCGTCCACCGGCGACTGGATTCTTTCGATCGACTCAAGTTTCGGAGAGAAGAAGCCTGGGCTCGCAGCCATGTCTTATGGTGCCTTGCTGGTTTGTATCATTTGGACTTCTATGGGGATTCACCTCATTGATCGACGCTTTGCGCAGTCGGCCATTTGGGCAACGGTTGGAGCTTTTCTGTCCGCTTTCGGGCTTATACACCAGGCGAAGGCAGACCTCACATTCAAAAGCTTCTCGGGTAGCCCAGGCCAGGCCTTTGGCTTGTCTTCCTGTGCCTTTATGATTGGATATCTCACCCTAGCCGCCCTCTTTGTGATCCTGAAGATTCTCCAAGCCTATGGATTTTCCCGTGTTCCTCCTCCCATCAAGGACACCTTGGAGGATGGGGATGCAGAGCATGAAGCTGAAGAGGTTGTCGGAGTCTCAGCACTTCAGAGTCTTCAGAGCTCATCTCCATTGTAACTTGCTCGTTTCATCTCGTTTCATCTTATTTCACACATCTTGGTGCAGTGACACACCATTGACATGTTTGATCTTGTGTTCCAGGCACGCAGAGCCAATGAGCGTCCCTCCAGCCGCATCATCAGCACCTTCTTTGAGAATGGTGTGGTGCCGCCTGCCGATCTCGATCCTTCCGAGAGCAGCGAATCGGCGGAGGATGAGGATCAAGAGGTGGGCCTTCGGGACAAGTGATACGGCAGTGATAGAATGCTTGATGAACTGAGGAAAGCACAGGAGTGATAGAAGTGATGATTTGAGTGATGAGTGAATATTAGTGACCCAACCCCCAGCTATCAGCTTGCAACACGGCGCAAGGGCGCCAGAGCGCATGAACAATGCATTCATGTGCCAGTTGCACTCAGTTGGGTTGGTGGTCTTGCCTTTAGCCTCTTGCAAGATTGTGCAAGGGGTGGCAGAGCGTATCACAACATGATCTCATTTGTCAATTCAGTCTTTTTCTTTTGAGATGGGCGCCTCCCTCTTGCCCCGGAGCAAGGGGCGGCAGAGCGGACCAGCCTCGAAATTTCGCTTCGAGTCATGCTACTTAAGAATTGTTGGAGACAATCATTTGCTGTGGGCTGTTGAGTCACTGTAGAGAGTTCTAGTAGAAAAAACAACTGAGTAGTAAGTAGCAATCCGACAGTCACAGAAGTCCACACAGAGGCTTCAAACGCGCACCACGCATTTGAAGCAAGTTGCGCGTGGCTCTTTGGCGACCAACTGCTTGCTATCCAGAACTTTGGTTCAAAAACTTGAAATATTTTGATATGAACATGACATGTGTGACATGTATCATTTGATTCATACAGGTATCATTTGCATTCTGTATCATCTCTGAACCAGCTGACCACTGAAGATGCTCAGCAAGTCGATCCTAGAAGAATTCTACACAGTCGTGCACAGTTTGCAATTGCTCCACTTCCCTCAGCGATGATATTTCTTTGGCACTCTTGCCATGATTGACTGAGCTGGTGTCATGTGATGAGGCGGCTGGTGTCCGTCAGGCCGCTCCGAGTTTTCCTTCAATTTTTCAACGGAGTGTATCGAGGGTTTTTAACTGGCAACGCAGGAGAAGGGACACTGCGGACACTGAAGGGCCTTCTTTTCCGAATCCATTCGACCTTTGTCTTTCTTCTGGCTCTTTGAACGTCGTTTCTTTAAATCGTTTCGTTTGAACGCTCCAGCGGCGCGGAGCCTCGCCAGGAACCGCGTGCCGCACTTCGGCTCGGAATCGCTTCGATGGCCTCGCAGAGCAGTGACAGCGACCGCCGCCCCGAGCCCGATGCACCAGGACCAGCTGTGAGATGAAGCGTTTGGGGGGGGAACTATTTTTCACTTTGGGATACCAAAGCGTCTTCATGTCTGAGATGTTTGCCCCAGTGGTTTGATGAAACTTGAAGATTTAGGCAGCTTTGAGCACATCTCACTAGGAGCCAGCGACACTCATGGAACCTCGAGGCTGGTCTGTCACAAGGGGGGCTCAACAATGAGTCACATTCGGCGCCTTGCGGGCTACTCTGTGGCTCCTACTCGTACCTGGCTGGTGCCTCGCTCCAGGCGCTGTTGCTGAGAGCCTGGGTGCCGCTGACCTCATCAAGGCTGACCCATCCATGCACGCTGAAGTCACTTATACATCTTATACGTTATAACTGCTCAGAGTGGTATTCGCTGGTACAAATGACTCCAAACACAGACACGCTTTCAAGTCAACGATATTTTTTGCAGGTTCCAGAGATGAGCTCCAGCCGACTGCGGAAGATTTCCCAGGCGAATCGTTGGCGTGAATAGCACAAAGCAAGAGGGAGGGGTAGGCCGCTAGCAGAGGTGAGGTGAGGTAGGCAGGTAGCTAGTAGTAGCTAGGTAGCTAGTACCTACAAGTAAGCTACTAGTACGGACGCAGGATAGCTCACGCTTCTTCAAGGAAGCTCCTTCGCCCCCTTTACCTTGAAGAAGCGCTCGCACTGAAGAAGAGCCCCTAGTAGCGTCCTTGCTCCTAGTAGCGATGCCAGGAGCCCCTACTAGCGTCCTTTGTTCCTAGTAGTAAGGCCAGGAGCCCCTAGTAGCGAACATTTTTCTTAGTTTTTTAGGGAAACTTAAGTTACGATTCATCCAGGATCCTTGTCCAACTTTTGACCAAATCGGATCAGACCTCGTCTTGGACAGGCAGCCGCAGCGGAAGGGGCATCTTTGGATCTTTGGAACGCTGTGGCCAAGCGCTGCGAGGAGATTTGCTAGATTTTGCTTGTTTGCTTAGAGCTATATATACTGCCGGACTGAAAGATAGAATGCCTGCTCTGGGTACGTGGTCATGCCTGAGGGGTGCGACTTAGAATGCCTGCAAAAGGGGCAGCGATGCAGTAATTAAAGGGCAGCCATGCAAACACTGAAGAATTTCCTCAGCATCCACTTGGCTCAAGCAGAATGCAGCAAACTTTGCATCAGGCGTTAAAAAAAGCTATGTTGGAGGCAGCTGATCCTCCTCCACTTCCACCACCTCCAGAACCACCGCTGGCCGATTCACCTCCAGGTTCACCGGCCAAGGTGGTCACAAAGGATGTGCCTGTGTATTTTGGCCAATTTCAGATGAAAGGTTGATTATTGAAGACACATACATATATATATATAATGTAAAGTGGCTGAGACCAGCCATAGAAATCCTTGCTATCACGGTTATATAAAACTATATATATATATACATGCAGACACGCTTTTTAGCAAAGTATATGTGCATTATATGCAGTGGTTTGCAGGCTGAGGGAAGATGCTTCTTCCTCAAGCGGCCCTTGTCCGAGCAATCCGTCTTCCTCGAGCAATCCATCTGCCTCGAACGACCTTCCCAAAGCAGTACGTGAGTGCGCCAAGATGTCAGCACCCTATTTGCTTCCTCTCTCTCAAATGTCCTACGCAAATGCTTTATGCATATAGGGATATATACTGTGTAGATATATATATATATATATGTATACATATTATTACATATTCATAAGTGCGTTTTAGCGATTCTGGCACGCATTCTAAGTGCAAGACTTTGTGGTTCTTTCCTGTTGTCAAGTCAGGTTCAGTGTTCGCATGGATGGCATGACACGGCGCTTCTTCTTTCAAGAGTATGAGGGCATACTTCTTGCAAAGACAGCAGCAGTGGAATTTGCCAATTGTGTTGTTCATCTGGACTTTGGCTTTGAGACTAACAAGGGCAAGGCAGGGTGGAATGAAACAATATGCTTGGTGCACCGAGCCACTTAGAATGACTGACACGTTGGTATTTGCATACCCGAATTGGAACCTGTGCAACTTCCTATACATATGTATATATATATATAAATATACAATGCTCTGACCTTTCCAGGCTCGCGCTGGTTGGCTTGAGGATCACAAAATACCTATGATCAAAGGCCGAAGTTTAGCAGACCAGCGGCAGAACCTCAAGGAAATGTGCTTCTCAGGACGTGTCAGTTAGATGCTTAGTTGACACATTCCATAGTTGTTTTCGAAATCATACTGTAGTGTTCCATGCAGAACCACCATGCAGGCATTCTAAGTGGGATTGCTGATATTTAACATGCATTCACAGAGTTCAACAATAGAAGCGTGCAAGCCCAAGGCTGGGTGGAGGACAAGATCAAGATGGCCCTGGACACGCACAAGGCCAAAGACAAGTCTAACGTTGCCAGCCAAAATGTACCAAGCAGGCTTTCCATTAGAAACTTCCTCAACATTATATATGAAACTATGCTACAGATATATAGAACTATACTATATATGGGTAAGCAGGCATTCCAAGCCTGCTATGTATGAGAACAATTGAACACATACACACATTTGTGTACAGCTCGACTTTTGAAATTGGGCTTCTAAAGTACGCATGTTTTTACTACCTTAGCTCTTCTTGGATACGTCCAAGGTCGAACGGCCAAAAGCAATACCAGCATCCCTGAACAGCGGCTTTGACTCCCTTCCTGCCTGTGACAAAGACAAGAAGACCAGAACCATCGAGCAAGCGACTGATATTACCACAGATTTGCTGTCTGAGTGCCCACAGCATGGACCCAAGCTGGCTGCATCGAGTGTCTTGCTTCAGAGAGGCGCGCTGGCGTCCTTCCAAGCTTGGCACACGCGAAGACCAGAGATGATTGGACTGCTGGTGGGGAGAGAGCAGAAGGACCGAGTAGAATGCTGCAAGATTGTTACCTCAACGTCTGGAGGCCTTGCGGGCTTGATGAATCACGCGGCCATCAAGAGATTGTGCAAAGAGCAGGAGCTGGATTTTGTGGGGATGATTCAAGGACCAGGGCAGGACCAGAGTCATATTCAGAAGGATTTGGAGATGATTCTGCAAGGTCAGTCCAAGCCTATCGCTTGCGCCATTGCTGTCATTGCACCTTGACACATTCCAAGTGAACAGGTTTTAAGATGTTTTGCAACTTCTTTACCAAGACCCCTCACACCCCATCATCAGGTTTACTTAGTATAATTGCCATGGGTTTGTGATGTATTTCTCCTGGATGACTGGGCATTCTAAGTGCTTGGTGATACAAAATAGAATAAAACATTTCACTTGGCAGGTCAATGAGACGGAATATGGCCGTGTTGATATCTATGAGCTAGTGGCTGGTCAGCCAAAATTGGAGCGGAAGGAGCTTGCCACTATGCGAGTGCCTAAAGACATACAGGGCAACTTGTGCCGGGTGGAAGATTTGTTTGTTGACAACAAGATGCGCTTGGATAATCTTGTGTGCTTAGCTGTGGCGAAAGTTGCCAGCGGACCCTCAAAGCCCACAGCCGCTAAGCCTGCTCAGCCTCGCGTGCAATTCAGACGGGTGAAGATCGCGGGTGACGGACGATGCGGGTGGCGGTGCATTCTGGCAGCCAGTCAGCTTGAACTTTACGAATCTGTGGCCAGGACCGTGCAGGTGCAAAATCCAGTGCGCATCCGAAACTTGCTGTATATATATATATGTATGTATGCTATGCATGTAAGCCAGGCAATTGACTTTAGAAGGCGCGGAGTGCTCTTTTCAAGGATGTTGTAGGGCGAACCACTGCAGGAACGAGTCGGCCTACCCGATCCATCCCGATCAGAATGAAGAAGAGATCCATCAGAGCAAAGATCTTTGTGAAGACACGTGTCAGGACCTGAGGGTGTATATATAAATATATCTTCACCACACCAAAAAAAGACTAGGGTACAGGGATTAATGCAACTCCACATGGTAACAATGTGTATAATATGATCTTCTGCAACCAAGGTGTGCGTGCATTGCACACTTTTCCTCAGATGGCGGACAGGATTCGTCATGTTCGAGCAGAGGGCTCCTTCGACATTGAAGATCTACACTGGATATCCAGAAGCTTGGGGTTTCCACTGAGGGTGTCTATGGGTATGGCAACCTATACAGTTGTTCAGAAACACATGACAGAAGCCCTTCCAGATGGAATCTATGGAATCCATGATGGCGAAGGGCCTAGGATCGGTGCACATCTATACTTCAGCTATGAGGATGCAACATGTGAGAACAGAAAGTTTGGCCACTTTGACTTGCTGGTTCCAGGGTATGGGCCTTTCTGGTTTGCAGACTCAGCGCCCTGGTTGTATACAAAAGGTGTATTTTTTGTCATTTGTTTATTGGTCTGATTGGAGTGCAAACGATGCTATTTGGGAGTGTCCGGCCACATGTGGCAAAACCACCCTACTGTCTCTCAAGAAGCCAAGGCCGATGTTACAGTTGCACAATGGAACACTTCTACCAGGTCAACTGGTCTGGAGGCAGTTCCCGTTGAGGCAAGGCCTATCCGAATTTCTCTCTCTATGTATATATATGCATACATACACATTGGCTATCGCTGGCAGGTGTCCACATCTCCTGGAGCCCGTGAACCCACTTCAAAGGCAGGTATTCTAAGAGAATGCTTTTCTATACATGATCTTTATGTCCTACACCAAAACCACTCCTTTTTTGGTTACCTGTACAAATACATACAGTATGTGCCTAAACATGGTTTATTTTTCATGTTTGAGGATCAGAATACATGGTCATTAGTTTTTTTCAATGCCTATATATTTAGAGATATAGAAAACAAAAAGAGGTCTAACACCTGCTGGCAGGAAGCGCTGGAAGAAAAGCACGTGGAAATTC